TGCCTTCTGATTTTTCATATGGTTGAATAAAGATGTAACTTAATTCAACTTCAGTGTATGAATGACCAGATTGTTTAATACATGTATCTAAATAATTTTGGCAGGGCTATACTAAAACTGTACCCAATCGGACATTTTGAGACATCTCCTGAGACCTACAGTGGGTACCCGGGTAGGGTCGGGTAATAGGGGGGTGGGTACCCGGGTAGTAAATTTGGACTCATCCCAGCCCTAATGTTTAATATCTTTTCTCTTTCCTAAGGGTATGTGGATTGTTTCTGATCACTGATAAAATCTTGAGGAAGGATTGGATATCTATAAAGAACAGTTTACTTGTCCCAAGGCAAATGAACTTTCAGCTGCTACACATGCTTTAGGCCACAGCTGGTCCGTTATTTCAGACAAAGTGTGCTGTTAAGTTTCCATATCTCACATCTCCCCATGTAAGTATGTTCAGACAAAATCACCTTTGAAATCTTATTAGTATTCATACACCAATGCCCCGTGCCCACAGCTTGTGAAATGCACACATTTTTCACAACTTGATTATTTTTCATTTCTAAGACAAAAACAAGAACATTCATGCCATGAACAAATCAAATTTCAAGGATCCTTACAGGAAACAGGAGGGTCCTGTAAAGTAATGATGTCGTGTACTGTACTGTTAGATTTCAATAATTACTTCAATTACAGGACCTTTTTATTTTTTGTCAAGATTTAGGTGCAATTAATATTATTGTGCGTTCCTTGGGATGCAATAAATATTTTTTTCTGCGTCCGTTGGACTCCATTCTATACATTTGTGCTTTAATACTGGATACACATTTCTGCATCATGTAAAACCCTGTATATAAAAGTTTCAACTTTTGACATTTGTGGATTCTGAGAAAAAGATTCGTAAAGTATTTTAGTTGATTTTTCTCTGATTTTTTGTTACAAAAATCCAAAACTTTTCATTTTGCTTGCATGAGCAAATCTGAATCCCATCTGCACGACCAGACTGAAACACATCATATCAATGTTTCAAATTCCTAATTGTCGTGGTTTGTTGGAAGATCTGGATAGATTTTTCATAATATTATTTTGTTAATTTAAACCAAAAACAAGAGTATGTTGTGTTTTTTTAATGCCATGAACAAGACTCAAAAGTGAGTGAGTATTGTTTTACGTTGCTTTCAGCAATATTCCAGCAATATCATGCCAGGGGACACCAGAAATGGGCTTCACACATTGTACCCATGTCGGGAATCGAACCCGGGTCTTCTGCATGACGAGCGAACGCTTTAACCACTAGGCTACCCGACAGCCCCGATGCACAAACAGATGCAGGTTCGTTTTGGTTGTTGATTCGATGTTTGTGCTTAGTGTCAAACACTAGTCTACAACAAAATTATTTAAAATAAATATCTGGTTCCTAATCATGTGCTAATGACCCTCCTGTCCCTAAAATTGCCTCCTCCCCAATTTGTTTTTTTAACTGTTAACCAGATTCAACATGGGTAAGAAATAACTCTTTCAGGTCAGTGCATGTGACATGCCATTCACAGTGTGTCATATTAGCAGGAGAACCCAGCAGTGAACACCATGCCTTTGGAGTCCGTCTCTTCATACTTCCCAACTGAAGGGAACTCCTGCAGGGATTTATCTCAACAAAGTGTTATTTTGTTCAAAGTTTGAATATTTATAGGTTTTTCTCATTTTCATAATTTCATAGGAAGTTTGCACCTGTGAAAATCCAGGGTGGAATAGGTCTTCAGCAACCCATGCTTGCTGTAAAAGGCGACTATGCTTGTCATAAGAGGCGACTAACGGGATCTGGTGGTCAGGCTCGCTGACTTGGTTAGAGCATGTCATCGATCCCAATTGCTTGGATCAATGCTGGATTGTCTGGTCCAGACTCGATTATTTACAGACGGCTGTCTTATAGCTGGAATATTGCTGAGTGCGACATTAAACAACAAACAAACAGGAAGTTTGACTTTGTATATTTAACACTGCATTCACTGAATTTCAATGCAAAAAGGTGAATTTAAGCAATAAAGCCTCTTCCCCTATGTTAGTCCTGCTCTCAGTGAAATACAAGTCACCTTGACATAACCGGCACATTAGCTATAACGATATTAACATGAATTGCGAAATGTTTATTTACACTTTGGGAATGACTTTTCCTGACATTTGCACGTTATGCATCGGTAGTAAATGGCACAACTTATAAGCATATATGATGGATGAAGGAGACATGTAACATTGTGTGAAAATACGATTCTTGTTGGTATGTTCAAGAGATTGTAGGCCACTTTTTCATCTGTGACTGTGAACTCACATAATCAATCTAAATATGTCTTTGTTAGGATTCTATTCATTTCCTCTAATGATGCATTATATCTCCTGAAAGACAAGAGGCTAGTTGTTTTCCATGACATCCTGTCTGATATGTGTGAATCATATCGTAACAAAGTGTATCGTTACCATGACACTGATGACAGCCCTACAATCCATGTGGACAATAAGAGGATAAGCACAAAATGGTGTCCAACATTTTCGTGATAATATTGATGCTATTTTCTACACCACTGAAATGATATACTACACATAAAAATCATCATAATATTGCTCTTGTCAAGTTAATCAAAAAAGTTGATGGCACAACATTGCAAATAAATGATATACTATATTTGCTGTAATAAGTGCCATTGGCTCTTAGAAAATTGACAGAGTGGGTGCTTATTAAGCCATACACTTGTACCAATACAGTGAATTTGATGTCAGAAATCCAGTGGTAGTGAACAAGTGAGTGAGTGAAAGGTTTACATCACATCAGCAGTATCTCACTATTCTCAGCCATATAGTGACGAGGTAGTGAACAAACTAACTTCAAACATCGATGAAACTTTGTTTGTTTGTTTAACGCCGCACTCAGCAATAATACAGCAATATGACGGCGGTCAGTTAATAATCGGGTCCTTGACATCATGAGCATCGATCTATGCAATTGGGACTAAAATGTTTTCAATAATAGTTTCTGGGCAATAATGTTTTCTGTGAAAAGGTCAGTAAGATAAACAAGAAAATATGCACAATCATATTCATTTTCAGTCTTAGTAGGGGGCGCTTGTGAAGATTCCTTACACATTGGTCTAGAAGGTGGTCAGAGGACACTTATTAAAGCAAGGCGCTTAATCATGTGTTATACAATGAATACAGTATGTTATCCCTTTGATAACAACCAGCAGTGATGATACTGACAGTAGCTAGCAGCATATATCCAGGTAATGAGCAAATGATTTACTGATCAATTTATTATAGAAATAGTGTGAGATTTCTGACAATGCTGATTACACCATAAATAAAGAAAAATTCATGTTGTCATCTGTAGATTATATTAGAAAAACTATAAAGTATATGTACACACACTGGCAGTGCATTATATTCATGATGATAGTCTACCAAACCAAGCTTGTACATACAAAAAGAAGAAAAATTATATCTTGAAAGATGTATACTTTCAAAGTATGGCCAAATTATGATAATCATGATAATGGCTTAAAAGTACAACATTGATTAATCATGAGAATTTATGAAAATTCTTTCTCACCATCATCCAATTATATGATAGAAAAGGGAAAAAAAACAACACTACATCCAAACGACATGTTACTACAATGTGCTACAAAAATATATCTACTACTAATAACAGAAAATATTGTACCCACAATATTTGCAACAGGTCGCACACCTCAACTCCAATATTCCTGACACATATACAAATCATCTTCATTTGGGAAGCTAATTGATCACAATGTAAGCTGGTTTGGATAATGAAACAATCTAATCATCAATAATGTTGATTAACCAGAATGCACAAATAAACTGTTGAATAACTGCAACAAGTATCATAATCACATTGCAACCCATGTATCACAATTATTTTATCTCCATCAAATATGATGGACATCATCAATCTCTCCTCTGTACACATTTGACTGATAACGCAGATTGTTGACAAATCTGTTCAAGTGCCAACAACTGGAATATCTTACACTTCTGTCATTACTACAAATTCATTATGTTATTTGAATATGTCTTTCCTGTGCAACATAAACACGTGAATATACTGACATCTGAGCTGTTTATGATTATTTTCAAACAAGGCATATTTCTGAGAAAAAAAATGAAATGATTTCTTGAAAGATTTATCGTCATGGGTATTTTTATGTTTAATAAGCATACTATTTTATTATTCACAATCTTTCTTGCAATATTTAATTGTAATTTATAGACAACTTTTAGCATTGTTTATTGTGGAAATTTGAGATTTTCGGAAATAAAATAAAATAAAATATTACATGCATAATAACAGATTACATTAAAATGAAGATGAAATTGAATATTTATGGTTAGGAATTATCAAATATTCTGCTATTAGTGATGTTGTATTGCATCTGATTAACATTGTTTAATATATTTGCCCATTTTACATTTCAAATCTAAAATGATATTAAAATAACTGCATTCATGATAAAATCTATGACTAGCCACCGTAAACAACTGTGTGGGAAATATACCAAGGGCATCTACATACGGAAATAAATCAATGTGACCTACATACTTTGCCAGCCGAGCGAGGATTTACTTCGTTTCAAACAAATGCCGGCAACACTTCCGTTAAACCCGCCTCGTCCTCGCCAAAAATTTTTGGAGACAAGAATCAATAATCATATTCTACATCTCTTGAATCAACATCAAGGGTTGGAGTTGTCCAAACCACTTCATATTCACAACATCATTCATTTCTGCCACGGCTCACTATAGAACAGGAACCCCACACAGCGTCGGGAAAACCCGTCTCTCCTTCTTCACCAAATTTCCACACACGAAATTTCGGAAGACATGTTTGATGACGCGAGGCGAGAGGGACGACTGTTCGGTGAACAGTACAATATCGGAGACATTTGACTGATATTTCAGTAACTAAAATCATATTCAGACATAACTCTTACCAGTTCCAGATGTCCACGCTTCACTGATCCCGGTAAACATGTCCCGAATTTCTGTGCAAGACTACACGAAGCCGGAAAACTCTAGGCCGAGGGCGATTCGGTACAATTTACTGTACAGGCAGCGCTGAAACGAAAATAGATTTCGCTGGATTTTTAGCAGAAGCAGGCGTGCGGACTTTGGGTTTTTAGATCAATGTAATTATTTTAGGGTTTTTAGTTCAGATGCCGAATGTTCTGAATGTGGCTGAGGCATTTTAATGATCGATACAAACCATGGAAGATGTGGTATAATGTTGTGGCTTCTAAAAAGCACGAGTCAAAATATTAGATTGACGAGTGGGAGATGTTGATAAACCTGTGAAATTGATTTTCTCGTTAGTGGTAGGTGACTAATTATTATTGCCATGTAGGTGATGTTTTGCAATTCGCTAATACACATATGCAGTGCACATGCATGCAGTTGATACATACTTGTATACACTCTATATATGTCAAGTATTTGAGTGCGTTAAGAACCGTTTACATGAAGTTGTTGGGCATTTGGCAGGATGTGTTCCCCGTGCATCATAGGCTGGCCAGTGTTATGTATCAAACGGATAGTGTTTTATGTAAAGTGAAATTTCAGTTGCATATGTGCATGATGTGAAATGGACATATTTATCCATGAACATTAATTTACTGTTGGTATCATAATGACGCGTATATATTACTCCTGTATTTGATCGTGGATTTTATATGCACATCATATTGAATAAATACCCAGATCCTCACTTGTATGATACAGTAGGTTCTTACATGTAAATGTTTGCCAGACCAAAATAGTTATCAAGTCCCACAGTACTACCACAGGCTCATTCTGCACGGTTGAGGTGGCAGTTATATGTAGCCGTGTGTAGCGACCAGAACTGGGATACGACCAGGTCGCTACAGCCGTGCAGTATATAGTGAGTGAGTGAGTACGGTTTTACGCCGCTTTTAGCAATATTCCAGCAATATCACGGCGGGGGACACCAGAAATGGGCTCCACACATTGTACCCATGTCGGGAATCGAACCCGGGTTTTCGGCGTGACGAGCGAACGCTTTAACCACTAGGCTACCCGACCGCCCCCGTGCAGTATATAAAATCGCCAGTTTACCAGGAATAATTATTCACCGACGACATATAGCCTGTGATTTCGCGTGCACGCAATTCATTATAGTTACTCCAGTTGTATGTAGTGTTCATGATAATTTGAAAGAATATGTCGAGTTGTTTGTCGTTCATTTAGAAGGGCCGCACAATCCAAATGACTGTCTTTATTATCATTTTACCAGATGTCATTTTATCCAGTTAATAAGTGAGTATGTAGTTATGCCGATATAAGCAATATTCCATCCACTCCACGGCTCGGTAAAAAACAGGGAATTCGTTCCCGGGTCTTCAGTGAGATGGGCGACCGATATAATCCTCAAATAGCCACCCCAGTATGTAAACCTATGATGGTGGGTTCGAACCCCAGATTCGCGCTGATAACATTTCTAGGTTTGACAGCACCCTACACATTCTCGTTAGTTTCACCAAAGTGGCGAACGTCTAAGACCTGCTGCATCATGGTTTACCTCGCACATCAAGCTGAGGCATCTCAGAGATCAAACTACTGCAGCCAGCGTTTGTCTTTGACTTTCACGCATGACGTCTGCTTTGTTACGTCACAATGCATGGATGATGTAACAAAGGCTTCGAATACTTTCTAAACGTTATCCAACCAATCAGAAATCGGAATCAATCTAATTAAAATCATGCCTTATCGTTCGCGCTAGGTACCGCTAAACAAAGCAAAAATATGGATATTTTCTTTCCCCGCTAAGTGTGCGATCTATGCAGTTAGGTTAAAGTAGAGTGTATAAGAAGGCCTATACTCACCAAATCAAATCAGCTGTTTGTCACAACATAATGTAACACCAGTGCTCCAATAGGCCAAATGAATGTCTTTATATCCCAAAGTGAGTTGTGTACGTCTTCATCTATCTAGAGCTTCTAATATGAAAATAGTTTTTTTACATTCAGTCATAACTCAACATTTGAGATATAAAAGAGCTGGGTATCATGAGGCCTCCAGTTTGTGTTGGTACCGAACATGTTCAACAGATACGTTACCATATATACGGCACACAAATATTGTCACTTCCCAGGGCGACCCGTGAAGATCCGGGGTAGAATAGGCCTTCAGCAACCCATGCTTGTCGTAAGAGGCGACTAACGGGATCGGGTGGTCAGGCTCGCTGACTTGGTTGATACATGTTATTGTATCCCAATTGCGTGGATCGATGCTCATGATTTCAGTCACTGGATTGTCTAGTCCAGACTCGATTATTTACCCTCGTCATATAGCTGGAATATTGCTGAGTGCGGCGTTAAACAACAAACAAACAAACTGCACTTCCCAGTGCTTATATACATGACTTGCAAACGCTTAATATGGGTAAGTGGGTTGGGTTTAACGCCGCTTTTAACAGTATTGTAGTTATATCACGGCGTGTCAGGTTAATATGGGAGGAAAGCCCAGAGTGACGCAGGTGATATATGTTTATGGTGCTGAGAAACCTAGAAACTTGATCGGGTCGAACCGGGATTCGCACCCACAATCAAAGATTGCTGGCGTGCCCAAGGGTCGCAACCCTGCACCAGCCAATTGTGACGCCTCAGGCAACTGGGCCACACCAGCCCCCAATACGGGTAAGTATTACCATTGGCTGATGAACAAGAAACTCTCTCGATCATCAGTATAATTTGTGTCAACAGGTATGTTACAGCCAGATACGTTACGAAAGTTGATTATTGTTTGTTCCTCATAAAGATTGAATCATTTGTATGATGGTTGCAGGGACGGTCGGGTAGCCTAGTGGTTATGGCTTTCGCCCGTCACGCCGAAAACCCGGGTTCGATTTCCGACATTGTTACAATGTGTAAAGCCCATTTCCGGTGTCCCCCGCCGTGATATTGCTTGAATATTGCTAAAAGCGGCGTAAAACCATACACACTAACTCACTAAGATGGTTACAACAGAAATAGATGCCTTTGGTAACGCCTGTGGTGACGTATCTGTTATTAGTGGTAACGTATGTCTTGTAATGTTATACCATACTCATTACAGTATTGCGTTTCACTCACATGTAACATTTCTTGAATACAGGCACAGTGTATTCTGTTCATTGGTTATTAGTTTGAAATGATGACATGTCGGTTTCTCTGCGATGAATTTATTTCACTTAGATTGAGTAAACAATTACGAAAACACGGCCCGAAATACAGAGCTCCCATAAATATGTGCAGAAGATGTTGCCAAATGGACTGGTTCCGTTTCAAAAAAGTTTATGATTGTTAATAAGGTTTTTTTAAGTTCCTCATTAAGAAAAAACCCAAAGTGTTTTGGGTCTACTTCAGTTTTTACCTCTCTAACGCGGACACATAACTTTTTGTCCTTTCATCAATTACACTAAATATTGGAACCTAAAAGAAATACTTGTAATGCATTTTCAAACTTAAGTCAATGATGATTAAAAGAATAACTGAATGAAAAATACCTTTCTGAACAACGAGCAAGTTCACGTATCTGTTATGCAGCACAAGGTGTGTGTGTGTGTGTGTGTGTGTGTGTGTGTGTATGTGCGTGTGCGTGCGTTTCTGTATGAAATGACATATGTATGATGTCAATCAAATGGCCAAACGGAGCTATCCAGGATGAACACTTCGTTTCTAGTCACCTGCACAATGTTAGTCAGTCAACTGGACAAAACGGAGGTATCCAGAAGGTGTATGTCTAGCCAACCGGATGTTAGTGAGTCAACTGCACAAAACGGAGCTATCCAGAAGGTGTATATCTAGTCAACCGGATGTTAGTCAGTCAACTGGACAAAACGGAGGTATCCAGAAGGTGTATATCTAGTCAACCGGATGTTAGTCAGTCAACTGCACAAAACGGAGGTATCCAGAAGGTGTATATCTAGTCAACCGGATGTTAGTCAGTCAACTGCACAAAACGGAGCTATCCAGAAGGTGTATATCTAGTCAACCGGATATTAGTCAGTCAACTGGACAAAACGGAGGTATCCAGAAGGTGTATATCTAGTCAACCGGATGTTAGTCAGTCAACTGGACAAAACGGAGGTATCCAGAAGGTGTATATCTAGTCAACCGGATGTTAGTCAGTCAACTGCACAAAACGGAGCTATCCAGAAGGAACACGTCATATCCATTAAAGCATCATCCCAATTAATATAGTTAAATGGGGTGGAGATAGGGACAGGTGAATGGACGCAATAATGTAAGAGGGTGGGGGAGGAGGGAGGGGAATGGACCGTCCCAATAATGTAAGAGGGTGGATAGCGGCTGGGAAATGGACCGTCCAAATAATGTAATTTTATCGGATGGGAAGAGGGCAGTGTGAATGGGCCCTCCCTATATATTTAAAGGGGTGGGAATGAGAGCAGGGGAAAGGACCGTCCTTATATATTTTAGGGGTGGGAATGAGAGCAGGGGAAAGGGCCGTCCTTATATATTTTAGGGGTGGGATTGAGAGCAGGGGAAAGGGCCGTCCCTATATATTTAAAGGGGTGGGAATGAGAGCAGGGGAATTGGCCCTCCCTATATATCTAAAGGGATGGGAATGAGAGCAGGGGAAAGGGCCGTCCCTATATAGTTGATGGGGTGGGAATGAGAGCAGGGGAATGGGCCGTCCTGTATATTTAAAGGGTTGGGAATGAGAGCAGGGAAATGGGCCGTCCTTATATATTTAAAGGTGTGGGAATGAGAGCAGGGGAAAGGGCCGTCCCTATATAGTTAATGGGGTGGGAATGAGAGCAAGGGGATGGGCCGTCCCTATATATTTAAAGGGGTGGGAATGAGAGCAAGAGAAAGGGCCGTCCCTGTATATTTAAAGGGGTGGGAATGAGAGCAGGGGAAAGGGCCTTCCCTATATAGTCAATGGGGTGGGAATGAGAGCAGGGGAAAGGGCCGTCCCTATATATTTAAAGGGGTGGGAATGAGAGCAGGGGAAAGGGCCGTCCCTATATATTTAAAGGGGTGGGAATGAGAGCAGGGGAATGGTCCGTTGATATATATTTAAAGGGGTGGGAATGAGAGCAGGGGATGGGCCGTCCCTATATATTTAAAGGGGTGG